CGCAGTTTATTCTTGAATAGGAAAAGAAATTCTTTTTGAAAGAAAGATAAAATACTTGTGTTCTTCTTTTTTTTTTCATTTTTTTTTTTTTTGCACGAAAGTATAAAGTAAAGTAAAGTAAACGGCTTAAAATGAGAAGAGAAAGATCTCACCCCCCCCCACCGCCCTTTCATTTGAAAGATGAAGATGCATATTTAAGGGATTAATATGTATTCGAAAAGTATTATACATAATGATTTAACAAAAAGTACATTTTAAAGATGGAGAAGAAGAAGAAATGTGAACGAAATGGGACGACCCGAATGAGAGATCATACTTTGTGAGTTTCGTGAAATATTATAATAATCTCAAAGAGTGGGTAGGTAAGTTAAAAGTTAATCCAACGTGATATATAAAACCGTGTGTGTGTGTGTGTGTGTTTGTGACGTTGAAAATTAAATAACTGCGATACAAAAAAAAAAAGAAAGAGAAATATGTTCGAAACACTCGTACAACTAACGATATATTATACAGAGTGTAACCTTTAAACGTGTGGAACTCGTTAAAAAAAAAAAAAAAAAAAAGGGTAGATGAAAAATAACTAGAGTAAAAAAAAAATAAAAACAAAAAAAAAAACAACAAGGTTCATTAAAAGAACTCCGGTGCCCTATATTTAATCTCTCTCACCAAAGTTACGCTCATTTTTTTTTTATTTTTTTTTTTTTTATTATATTTTCATACATTTTTCTAATATAATTTTGATCGATCCAATAGAAAGAAAGATGGAAATGCAACTTTAGTACGCGATAATTCCAAGTAGAATAATAATATCGAGGACACAATCGAAATATCGAGAATATGAGTCATATGAGTCACATGAGAGAGTCTGACCAACCCCTCTACGAATATATATATATATATATCAAACACGTGTGATGTGTCATTTCGTTGACACAACCAACCCTGATGGGAATTGGAGGGGGGAGGGAAGGAAGAGAAAAGGTAAGATGGTGGTGATGTGATCGACAATAGAAGAAATAGAAATGGGGCGAGGGGGGAGGGGATGGGGGTGTTGAATTGAGAAGAATGGAAGATATTTTTATCAGAAATGATACGCACAATATGGCAGAAAAAGGAGAACAGAGGAAGAAGAAGAAGAAAATGGTAGTAGGGAGGGAGGGGGTGGTGGTGGTGGTGAACATTGTCCTCGTTAAAAGTCCGAGAGACCGATAGCCTAGGTAGCTCTTGGCTGCTTGTGCTTGTTCGAACTGTGCACGGTCTCGTGAATTCTCCTCTTCTTCTCTTCGATACTGGTTTAACCTACTTTCGAACGCCGAATCGTGTGCTATTCAATAGCACCTTCGTTGGTCGTCCTACTAATAATAGTAGTAGAAGTAGTAGTAGTAGTAGTAGTAGTAGTAGTAGTAGTAGTAGTTTTCATACTCGTAAGTAGTAGTAATCGGAAATAAAACGACAAGCAACGTGAAACGGGAAACGAGGAAAACCGGAAGACTTCACCAAGATCTATATATATATATATATATCTGAGTCAACCATTTTCTAGGATTATTATCGACAAAAAATATCAACTAAACTTTATCATTTTTCTATTTTTTATATAATTAATAACAATTATGATCGTTCATTTAAACTTTTGACACATCTTTAAACCAGTTAGTTAACTGTGACGTCCTCAATTGAGTGCACGCGCCCGTTTTTGTGTCATCGGAATTGAGCCATGACGTGTATACACGTCATTAGACAAGATCACTTATCAATGACGAGTATACACGTCATTAGACAAAATCGATACCAAAAACATTCATGATTATACTTGTCATGGATAAGTGATTTTGTCTAATGACGAGTATACACGTCAATGTTAACAGTTAACTGATTAAAAGTATAGTATCGGGATACATAATGGCGGTTCAATTTGAAATCACAATGAGATTTCGTTTTCTAAATTAATTCAGTAAATTCATTGCAGATTATCTAATCTAACTTTAGGTATTTCCTTGTTCGATCATTCGTTCATTTTACTTCATCGTTTTCATTAAACTAACTTAAGAGACGAGAACTAATCTGATTGATTTTAATCCTAACTTATATATGCACACTATAAGTTAGAATTTTAATTTAGATTACTTGGAAACTTTATAGATAATCGAATAGATCAATTTCTTTTTCAATTTGAATTTATCGAGAGAGAAAGAGAGATTAGTTACTCGAGTTCATCGAAGATAATTGTTTCATTTATTTTAAACAAAATTAATTGCATTCTCAATTAACGAATTTCACTTTAACTAGTATTTACATTTTTTTTTTTATTCTCTTGTAAGATCGTGTAATTATAAAATGTATCGAATATTCTTGAATCAAATTCAAGAGAATGAAAAAAAAAAAAGAAAAACTTGAAGATTTGTAGAAAAGAAAGCTCGATCGTTAATTGGTTTTTTTTTTTTTTTTTTAAACAATGGCTGCGTATTTAATTGGATCTTATTAAAAAGAATAATTATAGTTATTGGATATAAATGAAAGAAGAAAAAAAAACAAAATATGTTAACATAACTCACCTCCGCAAAAAACTCTGTCATGAAGTCATCCTGCCCGCCAACGTTGACGGCCACATCGTCCGCCACGTCATCTTCGTCCGACTGGGCCTGTAATAAATAAAAATAAATACATTGATCAATATAAAATAGAAAAACAATGTGTAGAGGAAAGAAATATAGAGAAAAAAGAAAAAAACAAGAAAATAAATATGCAATAGTCTCAATACAACAATTTATAGAAATAATATTTGCTAAAAAAGAAAAAAAACCTGAAAAGTTTTGGAAGCTAAAAATTTTTGAAGTTACTCTTAAAAATTGCACACTAATATTTAATTTATAATAAATATATTTAATATAATTTTTGTTAAATTTATAAAATAATATTGTGTGTGTGGTGTTGTCCGGAAAGTTTATGCCAATTTTCGATAGATGGCATTAAATGTTCTTTTGCTAAGAAAAAAACCTGAAAAGTTTTGTAAGCGAAAAATCTTGAAGTTACCCTTAAAAATGGCACACTTTAATTTAATTTAATAAATTATATATAATTGTAAATACCAAAAATAAAAAATCTCAAAAATGTGTTGCATTTCAATCTTTCATCAAAAAAAAAATCATCAATCGAACTTTTCCGAACAAACCAATAGAAATTAGAGATAGAATGATAAACCTTTTTTTTCTTTCTTTTTTTTTAGTGTCAACGATTCCCAAGCATGTTGGACCTATCGATTTTGTTTCCATCTTCTTCTTTTTTTTTTTGTCTCATTCGTTTTAACGTGAGAAGCTTACGAAAGCTTTTCCCCGAGGCCGAACGGGGTTATTTTTTTTTTTTTTTATTCGTTTCTCTACCCAGCAGAATTATGCGATTGGAGATTTTGAAGGGTCTCGTCTTCATTTTCGTTTTCGTTTTCTTCATCGTACCCTACGTTCGTTCTTTTAATCGTATATGGTTGGATACTCCCACGTATATACCACCACCAACGCACAAAATGCGTGCCCATTTTTTTTTTTTTTTTTTTGATAAGACTTCCTTCCTATTTTTCCCTCATATCGTCGTAATACGAAAGAAAACGTAATCGTATTATCGTTCGACGAGCCACGATGATCTTGACCCTTATACTTAAACTAAACGCGGATGAGACGACCTTCAGGATTGTGGATTATGTTTAACGAGAGTGAATTCAGAAGGGATTCGTGAAAAAAAAGAAAAAAAAAAAAGAAAAAAAACCGTGAGAAAGATAAGCAACCTAACATAAACGTCAGATAGGATTGAGAGGAATTAAAATGGGGAAAAAACGTGTCTGATAATTTTTATCGTTTCAATTAATCAACGTTTTGTTTCTACATTTTTTTTTTTTTTTTAATTAATATTATTATTATTATCATATTTTTGTTTCCTATTTAAAAACACGTACAACATGAGAAATCAAATGGAATGAAGAAAAAAAAACAAAGAAAATAATCAACGAAAAATGTGACGATAAAAAAAAAAATAAAATCATCATCGTAAATTCTTCCTGGTTTCTTTTTGAATTTTTTTATTTTTTGAGTTTTTTTTTTTTTGAGTTTTTGAGTTAGTTACATTTCCGGGAATTTTTCGAATCGATATTATATTTGCATACAATTAAGAATCATTTTTAGACATCAGACGTGTTAATATAGTCTAATAAAGAGAGGGTCGGGTTAAGGCGGCCGACCACACGCGATCGATACTTCTCGCTTATAGAGAGAGAGAGAGAGAGAGAGAGAGAGAGAGAGAGAGAGAGAGAGAGANTGATAATTAAAATAATAATGAAAATAATTCTAATCTTAAAATAAAAAGACATAATACGTAAATCAAATAAACAACTAAATCATTAACAAAATAACTCAGCAGATGCATCACACTCATAATAATAAAAATAAAATAATATTAACCTATAGAAAATGAAAAGACATAATACGTAAATCAAATAAGAAACTAAATAATTAACAAAATAACTCAGCAATCAAATGCATTGAAGAATAATAACGAAATAATTCAAAGTAGAGTCTTAATTAACGTTATCATTTAAACAAATGGATAATACCAATGAAAAAGAACAAAAATAATAACAAAAATAAAATAAAAATAGCCTCGATTAAATGATAATAGTCAAAGTATTTGTAAGAGTAAGAACAAAAATAGAGGGAGGGAGAGGGGGGGGGGAGGGAGAAAGAAAAAAGAAGAAAAAGAAGTGAAAACAACTTAGAATAGAAAATTAGTTTGAAGACTTTCTCGTAAAACGTTTGAATACTTATTTACATTAGTTAGGACATTAAGTCCGTTAGTCGTTTACGTATGTTCGAATAGAAAGAAAAGATCTTCCTTCCCCATTGTAACAAATGTCAATGCATTAAATGTAAGAAGAACACATGAAAAAAAAAAAGTCACGGCTCATAAAGTCATCTAACCACCACAGAACTATTAGCAATTTATTCATCTTCTTTTACTTCATTTTGCCCCACCTTCCATTTTTGTTTTCTTTCTTTCTCGTTATTTTCATCGTAGTTGCTTGCTTGCTTGTTGTTGTCGTGTTGTTGTAGTTGTAGTTGTTGTTGTTGTTGTTGTTGTTGTTGATGATGATTGTGTATAGAAAGAGAGACAAACATTTGACGTGGTAACAACGTTTTATTCGATGAAACGTAACGGCGTGTATCCGATTTCATCCACGTAAATCGAACGGTGTAGATGAACCGCAAAGATATGAAGAGACTATTTTTTTCAAATAATCATTGAAAGAATTATTCTAGCGTAACCACTCTATCTCTCTTAAGCTTTCACAATATTACTTAGGAAATTTCTATATAAGTTTTGGAATTTCAAGAAAGATTAATATGACTTTTATAGACATTCCTTAAATATTTTTGTTCTTTTTTTTTTCTTTTCTTTTTTTTTTTCTACAGGAAAATATGACGATAAACATTTTCATTTAAATAGGAAAGTCTTTTTTCTTTTTTTTTTTTTTTTTTTATAATATGTTCGTTGAATTAATGTATTATAGAAATAAAATAAATGATATTCTTATTATATTTATAATTTTTTTTAATTAATAAATTAATATTAGTAATAACTAAATATTTTATTAGTATTAATATAATAATACATAGTTAATATACTATAATTTATTAATAGTATACTATTATATTATACTATGTTACTATTATAATTAATAATACTTAGTTGTTACTATTAATACTACTCTAAAATAATTTAATAATACTAATAACTTATTACATTTATAATATTATTAATTAATAAATTAATATTAGTAATAACTAAGTATTTTATTAGTATTAATATAATAATACATAGTTAATATACTATAATTTATTAANAGAGAGAGAGAGAGAGAGAGAGAGAGAGAGAGAGAGAGAGAGAGAGAGAGAAAGAGAGAGAGAGAGAGAGAGAAAGAGAGAAAGAGAGAGAGACACACACGAAATAAAAACCAGGTGAAATCTGCGAGCGAAAATTCATTCGTGACATTAAAAAACGTTCTCTTTGATTAATATATATATATATATATATATGTATGTATGTATGTATGTATGTATGTATGTAAAGTAGAGACACAGATATTTCATGTGTTGAATGATAATCGATAAACGATTATTATAGTACGATTATAATGATAGTATATATCGTATATAGAAGTATAATATATATACTATATGATAATATAGTATGATATTGGAATTATATTTAAAATAAAAATATATTATTGAAGATATATTGAGAAAAATTAATTCATGTATGTATAATTTTTTAATAAATATATTAATATATATATATATATATATTTTATTATATTATTTTATATATTTATTTTTCTATATTTTCGATATTTTATATATTTATTTTACTACATTATTTTATTATATTATTTTATATATTTATTTTTCTATATATATTTTCCACATTTTCTATATTTATTTTAATATATTACCCTAAGTAGCACAAAATATTGAAAAATATTCAATACACATGTGTATATTTAATATTAAAAAGAGATACAATGTTATAATTCAATTATTTTTTCAATATTTTGTTCTACTATGGTATTATCTATATTTTATACATATTTATCTTTTATTATTTGATGATATATAATTATATAACTTAAAATAATATAAAATAAATATACTAAATGAAATATATAAAAGAATAGATTGAACTGTTTGCTAATATAAAAATTGTGAATGAAATATATATATATATATATATATATATATATATAAAATATATATATATAGTCTTTAAAAATTAATCTACCTTAACTGGGGTGTGGGGGTTGAAAGAAGCAGAAAATTATCAGAGACACGGTTGAAATAGGAAAACTTTCAAATTAGTCGAATAAAAAGGTATACTCTTATACTATGAATGAGTTATGGGAAGATAGGAAGAGAAAAAGAACAAGAAAAAGAGAAGAAGATAGAAATAAAGAGAGAGAGAGAGAGAGAGAGGAGAAGAGAAGAGAACAAGAGGAAAACTTGTTGCGTGTTGGTACCATGTTAACTACTCTAAAACACACACACACACATACACATAAATGATATACATATAGATATGATTTATCACATACGTGATATATGTGTTACATCAGAGCAATTAAATCTTGCAAAAGAATTTTATTTTTAAACAAAACAAAACAACAAAAAAACAAATCAAATTTATCTTCTTCTCAATCCTATTTTTACTAAATAGTTTCCTCTTTAATTTTTTTCTATTATTAATTTAATATTTTTTTTTTTCTATTATTAATTTAATTTTTTTTTTTTTCTATTACTAATTCAATATTTTTGTTTCTATTATTAATTTAATATTATTTTCTATTAATAATGTAATAATATTTTCTATTATTAATTAGTTATTATTAATTGAATTTATTTTATTATTAATTTAATAATATTTTCTATTATTAATATAATATTTGTTTCTATTATTAATTTAATAATATTTACTACTATTTATTTTATTGTTAATTTAATAATATTTTCTATTATTAATTATCTTCTTCTCAATCCGATTTTTTTCTAAAACATTTTCCTCTTAAATGTTTCCATTTATTAAAATGATCTATTATTATATAATTATAATATAATTTAATATATTATTATTTATTGTATTTATATTAATTTAATAATATTTTCTATTATTAATTTATCTTCTTCTCAATCGTATTTTTTTTTTCTAAAACATTTTCCTCTTTAATTTTTCTATTTATTAATTTATCTTTCTTTTCAATTTCGATTTTTACTAAACATTTTTCTCCTTTAAAATTTTTCTATAAAATCACTTTTATCTTTTGGAATTTGAGTAGATATTAAATGACGAATAATAATAAAATATATATATATATATATATAGTATACATACTTGTTCTAAGCTTGAATAGAAAAATCTTTTAGTGAAAAGACGACGGATGCGCATTTGGGACGATACTAGTTGCAACTACACTTATCGTCATTTCAAACACATTCACCAACGACACTACCATCCTAATGATTAACAATTGTTCTTTTATATATATATATATATATACATATATACATATGTACATATCAATGCATCTATGCATCATGTATTTAACACTTCCATGAAACAATAGCACAGTAGGGATATAACCTTCGTTTCAAAAATACTAACAGTTTGAACAAGAAAATGCATAGCCAATTATACTTGTGAATTACTTTTTTTTTATTTTTTTTTTTTATTTGTAACAATCATTTGTTATTATTATTTATGATAAAATGTAGCTTAATATCATACGTTTAATCATGAATGTTAAAAGAAAAGTAAATGTGCAAAATAATATGAATATAAACCATGAATCATCAAAATACACATCCAATTATATTTCAGAATTACTTTTTTTGGTTGTAATCATTTCTTTTATTATTATATTATTATTATTATTATTTTATAACAAAGTTTAATATCATACGTTTTATTATTAATGTAAAATGATAACTGAATGTTAAAAACATGTGAATTATCATGAATTACCACCATACAAATACAATTGTATTGGGAATTACCTTTTTTTTGATTTCAATCATTTATTTTATTATTATATTATTATTATTATTATTACTTTTATTATTATTTTATGACATAATGTAGCTTAATATCATATGTTTAATATTATTCATTTTAAATGGAAATTAAAAGTGCAGAAAATATGAATTACCATGAATTACCCCACCATACACATTCAATTATATTTTAGAATTACTTTTTGTTGTTACAATCATTTATTTTATTATTATTATTATTTTTTTTTTTATTATTATTATTTTATGACAACATGTAGTAGCTTAATATTATATGTTTAATATGACAAATGTGTTAAATGAAAATTAAATGTTTAAAAAATATGAATTACCAACATACACATCCAATTATATTTTAGAATTACTTTCTGTTATTTCAATCATTTATTTTATTATTATTATTATTATTTTATGACAAAATGTAGCTTAATACTATACGTTTAATATTACAAATATTAAAAGGTAACTAAAGATGACAAAAAATATGAATTACTATAAATTACCACCATACACATCCNTAATATTATTAATTAATAAATTAATATTAGTAATAACTAAGTATTTTATTAGTATTAATATAATAATACATAGTTAATATACTATAATTTATTAAGAGTATACTATTATATTATCCTATGTTACTATTATAATTAATAATACTTAGTTGTTACTATTAATACTACTACTACTAATAATTTAATTTAATAATAGTAACTATTGTACTATTTGATACTATTTATATATATATATATATATTAGTATTTAATACTAATACTATTCGAAAATAATTTAATAATACTAATAACTTATTATATTTATAATATAATAAATTAATAAATTAATATTATTATTATTAATACAATAATACTTAGTTATTACTATTAATACTAATAACATATTGCATTTATAATATTATAAATATATAAATTAATATTATTTAATTAAATTAATATTATTACTATTCATATAATAATACTTAGTTATTACTAAATATTACTAAGTAAGTACAGTAGTATATATAGTAGTATAAAGTTTTATAAAATATAATAAATATTATTTATAATATTATAAATTAATAATAAATTTTATTTTATATTACATTATATACATTCAACAAAAATAGGAAAGCCTTTTGTTGTTTTTTATATCCCTTTTTTTGAATTGATGATAGATTATAAAATAAAATACAATTTATTATTAATTTATAATATTATTAATACAATAAGATACTTTTTGATTTTTATTTGATAATTCATTCAAGATATTATCTATCGAAATAAAAAAAAAATATTTTTTATAACTAGTTGAGCTAGTTTTTTTTGGGTTAAAGGTATACATGCATAACATAAAAGAAATGTTTTATTTAAAAAAAAAAAAAAAGAAAAAAAAAGAAATATTATGAAACTGTGGGTTTTGTATACCGTTAGAATATGTTTGTCCGAGAGAGGATAATTCTGGAAAAGTTGAACGTTTTAAACGAGTCCATGAAGACATATATATATATATATATATATATATATATATATATATATATATATTTATTTATGTTATTCATTCATCGAACACGATGGTAGTATATTCCATTGGAAATGGTTAGAGAAACGTTTGATAGCTGTAATAAAGTATCCAACTAGTGGACGATACCTCATTTCAGTATGCTAAAGAAAACTGAAAGAAAGAAAGAAAGAAAGAAAGAAAGAATTACGAGGAAGGGGAGTATAAAGAGTCAGAAAGAAAAGAAAAAAGAAGAAGAAAAAGAAGAAGAAGAAGCAGAAGAAGAAGAAGAAAAAGAAGAAAAAGAAGAAGTGGGAGGTTGAACGGGGCCCGATGTTACCCGTTGCTTGCTTTTCTATTCGAGATACTTTTGCTTGAGGCCTAAAGCGCATTTCAGGGAGGGCCCGTTCAGTTCTTCTTCAGTTCTTCTTCAGTTCTTCTTCAGTCATCTTAGCGCACGTGCGTCAAACAACGCGCATTTCTCAAAGCCTTCCCTGTGTGAATTAAACCATAACAAAAAACAAAAAAAAAAGAAGAAGAAGAAGAAGAAGAAAAAAAAAAACAGAGAAACTTAAAAGGACAACAAGCGTGAAGAAAATTCCCTTTGGAAAAACGTTAAACGTACACACACACACACACATATTCATTCATTCGTCACGTGATTTAATTTATTTACTTTTTTTTTTGTTTTTTTTTTTTGTTTTTGTTTGTTGTTGTTCATTTTTATTTGATTATAAAATAAAAGACACAGATAGTGAAAAATGTTGAAATATTGTTCTACTACGATACTACTAATATGCATCGTTATTATTCATTTGGTGAGTTAATGTTTAATGTATTTTTTATTGTTGTTTATTTGTTTAATTAAATATTGAACCCTTATAATATTAAATAATAATAATAATTATAATAATAAGTCATTGTGTATGTGTTAATGTACGATACTGTTTTAGTTGGTAATGAAAAATGCATTGTTTTTTTTTTTTTTTNCAATTGTATTGTGTGGTAACAAGGTTGATATTAAGGATAGAAAAGTCAAGGCTAAAAGCATCGTCTTCCATAGGAAGAAGAATTTACAGGTATATTTTTTTTTTTTTTTTTTTTTTTAGGTTAACTCGTATACAATTATTAAGATTTATTAACTATGAATTGTCTGAATGATTCTAATATGTTTTAATCTAACCAAACTTATAATTTTCATGACAACCATGATGATTCAGAGATCTTAAATTAATTTTGAAGACACTTATCTGTCCCTCTAATCTGAGCTTAACATATTCAACTAATTTCACTTTGATTTTATTCATTTATATTCATGTTTATATATATATATATATATTAACATGATTTATTTAATTGTTTTACAGTATTATGATATCAGTGCAAAGAGCAATTACAATTTTGAGAAACCATTTTTGTGGTTGGCACGTAAATTGATTGGAGATCCAAATCTTGAATTTGTCGCAATGCCTGCATTACTTCCGCCAGAAGTTACAATGGATCCACAATGGCAACAACAAATTGAAAAGGATCTTAAGGAAGCGCAAGAAACGGCATTGCCAGAGGACGATGAGGATCTTTAGGTTATTTAACACTGTGTGCTTGGTTCCGATGGAAGAGAAAGATTTTTGCTAAGTGGTGGTACCCTTTTCGGGGGTGTACCTACTACTACTATCCAACAGCAGCTTGGGCGTTTTACATAATATGAAGATATTCTTCAATGAAAAAATTACTTTAAATAATGGATAATCTTCTGCATGCAGAGCTTTATAATTTGATACCTTAAAAAGAAAAGAAAAAAAGAAAAAAAATGCAAATCACACCAGAAATACTTCTGTGACTTCATATATATATATATATTTAATATCAGAATTAAAATATTGCCTTAAAGGGGGAGTTTATTATTATTTATTAATTATTAATTATTAATTATTATTATTTCTTTTAGTTATATCCGTGCGCACATATAATACATGTGTGTGTATATGAAATATCAAAGAAAACAAAAAAATATGATTTTACATAATATAACATTAATTATTAGCAAATTTCTATCAGGTGTATCTTGTCATTCCTTTTTTTGTTTTTTTTTTTTTTTTTTATAATAACTTTCATATTACAAAGAAGAAATATTGTTAAATTTCTAATTAATGCTAATCTTTTGATTGTGTTAGAAATATTTTCTAAAAGGAGAGATAATAATATACACATAAAACACGTTATAAATGTTTCAACAAAAATTCGTTGTATACTTTATATATATACTTATTATCCTATTATAATTATAATCTATTATATATATATATATATTTAATTAGAATACGTTAAACCCAAAGTTAAAAAATGAGAACCCACTTTAAGGCATACTTTATGAAAAACAACAAAAAACCCATTCATACTATCTGCTAATGATCTTGTTGCAACAACATCCTTGTTACGAAATACGAAAGATGAACTGCCAGAGTTTTCTAAATGAATGTATGTTGTGTTGGTAATGAATGTGTGCGCTCGGCTGCAAAAACATGTGTACTTGTCATTTTTCTAAAGTATGCAAACTTCTTCTTACATATTTGAGAGATGTTTATATGCTCGAGAGAAATCACAGGTAATTAAAATAAAAAAAAAAAAAAAAAAACAAAAAAAAATAATAAAAAATAAAAAAAATAATATGGAAGTAGAATAAATTTTTGATCACAATGTAATAATTTAATCTCTAACTTCAGTCAAATTCTTGTTTATTTCTTCTTCTTCTTCTTCTTTTTTTTTCCTTTTTTTTTTTGTTTTTGTTCGTTGTTACAAAATGTTGGATAATATCAAAAAAAGAAAAAAATACCAAATGAAAGATATGATTCATTTTTTATTAAATCATTCTTATTAATTAGTAATTAAACGTGGTTAGTAGTAATAGTAGTAGTTAAAATGTGTGTAAACAATATATCATCATCTTAAATGATTAAAATTTATCGTGAAATAATTATTTGCAAATGTGATTGAAGATTTTTATATAATTAATAATAAATAACGATAATAATAAGAAGAAGAAGAGGGATAAAATGGTCTCGATAATATTTCATTGGGTTTTTATTAATATTTTAAAAAATGTTCATTATTTTGATATTATCAAACATTTCTATGAAATCATAAATATATTTAATAATAAAAACTGTTTCAAGTATGTATAATAATGATGATTATGATGATGATGATGATGATGATGATGGTCTCTCTCCTCTCATCACAATAGGAAAAAAAAAAAAAGAAAAAAACAGTAAAATTGAGAAACAAGTTCTTCGTCGTGTGTCTAACTCGGGTTAATTATTAACGAGGATCGTTTACTATTTTTGTAAGAGAAGGTGAATGTATGATTTGTTCAACTTAAATTATATAAAACAGTGTTTTTCCTTTTCTACGTATGAATATTTGTTTGTTTGTGTTCCTTGTTCCTATTAAAAAAAAAAAAAAAAAGACCCTGTCTGGAAAGAAATGTGTCTGAAAGTATGAAGAAACAACAACAGCAACAACCAACTACAAAATAAGATAATGCATTACACACACACACAATCTTATTTATTAATAAGAAGAAAGGTGTTATTATTATTATTATTATTATATCAATTAAAAGCAGATTATATTGCTGAAAAAAAAAACAGAAATTGTATCAATCGAATAAATTCTACCTTTGTCGAAATTTTCGATAAATTTTGCCTATATTATATATATATATATTTATATATATTGCAATAGTATTTAATTAATTAATTGATTATATATTTTTTACACATAACTTTTAAGAGATCTGCATGTAGTAGTATGTGCACACAGTGTGTCGTTAACAGAAGAATTTCTGGAATTTATCCGCGTAATAGTTAAAACAATTACATAATTTATATATAACTAGCTTATATATATATATATATTAAATGATAGAGTAATGAATATACTCAAATTTAAAGGGACATTAATGACAATTTTATTTCTATATTCTATAATAATAATATATTATACTCCAATTTATACGTGGTGTAGTAGTATACTGTGTTTCACACACAAACACACTCAGCTTATAAAAACACTTTTAATGATATAAGAAAAATGCAAATAATGTTAAAAATCAAGAGAGAACCAGCCAAAGGAATTTATGCAAGTACATCATCATATATATATATATATATATATATATATATATATGGAGATAATAGACTAATTAATAAAAAAATGTTTCAATGTTCGTTTGTGTAATAGCATAAATGGAGTTATCCTTAGAATACAGTAAGTATTGGTTTTTGTTTTATTTTGTTTTGTTCTGTTTTTTTTTTTTTAATCATATTAATTAAGAATACCATTTTTTTTTGTTATATATACATTAATCTAAACATTTTCTTTACTGTCCCTCCATTTGTTTCTGTTTCTTCTTTTTTCCTTCTAAAATAAGTACACGTTCATTTTCTGATAATGATGGTAGAATATTCGTAATAACTCCAGTTCCTAATGTTGTATTTCCATCACGGAATGTAAATCGTTGACCTTTCTCACATACCATTGGACGAATTAATTTGATTTCAAATCTAAACATGACATTCATTGTTTTTAATTAAAAATCCTTTACTTTTAAACAAACAAACAAACCAATCAATCAGAAAACTGTACAACTTACTTGGAATCTTCTCCTGGCATAGCCATTGCTTTGTCACCTAAATTAATTTGTGCAGCAACGTCCCACGTTTTACAAAACATTTGAAATTGTGAAAGACTACTAATTGGTTTTTTCCTACCACCTTCCTCAGGACTTAATACATAAACTTGTGCTTCAAAATGATCATACGCTTTCATAGAACCTGGTTTACACATGATCATACCTCTTTTAACATCAGTCCTTTTCAAGCCTCTAACAAGAGCACCTAATTGATCACCAGCGTGTGCTTCTTCTAATATTTGATGAAACATTTCAATACCAGTGATTACACTCTTCATCGTTTTATTATATCCAATGAATTCACAATCCATTCCTTTCTTAATCTTTCCTCTTTCTAATCTACCAGTAACAACTGTACCTCTACCAGGAATTGAATAAACTGATTCTACTGGTAATAAAAATGGTTTATCCAATTCTCTTATTGGCGTTGGTACATTATCATCAACAGCATCTAAAAGTTTTAAAATTGATTCTGCACCAATTTCTGGATTTTTTCCTTCAAGTGCATTAAGTGCACTGCCCTTGATAACAGGAATTTGTTCACCATTGAAACCCATTTCAGTTAATAAATCACGTATTTCCATTTCTACTAATTCAACCATTTCAGAATCTGCAGCATCAACCTTATCAAATAAAATAAAATAAAACAAATGTTAATTTTGCAATATCAAATGTAACAACAAAAGTTAACAAACAACGTGAGGAAGAGGTTTATGTTTACTTTGTTAATAAAAACAACGATATGCTCAATTCCAATTTGTTTAGCTAGAAGTAAATGTTCTCTGGTTTGTGGCATGGTACCATCGGTAGCTGCTACAACTAAAATAGCACCATCCATTTGGGCAGTACCCGTAATCATATTTTTAATATAATCCGCATGACCTGGACAATCTGTGTGTCCATAATGACGTTTTTCTGTTTGATATTCAATATGTGCAACATTGATTGTTATACCACGTGCCTTTTCTTCTGGTGCATTGTCTATTTCACTGTAACCTTTAGCCTTAGCCAATTGTTTTTCAGCAAGAACTGAACAATTCAAATAGACATTTTTATTTGATTTATTATTCATGATTATATTTAATTAATATAATTAATATTAAAAATGACTAAAGTCATAAAACCTTTAGTTATTGCTGCGGTTAACGTAGTCTTTCCATGATCAACATGTCCTATTGTTCCAACATTACAATGAGGTTTATCTCTGCTAAATATTTTCTTTTCTGCGTAAAATCTTTGACTAGTTATGGTTGGTAACAGCAATTGGTTGCATAGTTTATTGTGTTGCTGTTATTTATACAAAAAATTAAGATATATATAGAAATAAATGAAAATATTTAATATTATAATTAAATTATATATTTACTTACACACTTAACAATGTGCCTGCTAAGATATACATGTTTGATGCTATGTCTGAAAACTAAAATTAAAATTGAACACAAAATATGAAAAAAAAAGTTTGTACATTTGTAATAATTAATATAACAAAATTTAACAATATCTTTCACAATTGACATTATTTACCTGGTGTGAATATCTCTCTAACAGAAATAAATGCCATGATTTTCGGTAACCTTAATAATCTTCTACAAATTTTATTTTCTTTTTTTTTTTCTTTACTGATCGTTATAGATGGTTAATACCAATCTAAAGATGTGTGGTTTGAAAATAGATCTTTAGTCTTATGTAACAGACGTATAGTTCCATTTTATTTTCTATTTTGTTTTAATGAGAATGATTCAACCAATCAATTTATTGGAAGAGTTCTGTAGTTTAGGAAGCTTGCATCTCATTGGTGCTTTCTATTTTGTTTGAATGAGAATGATTCAACCAATCAATTTATTGGAAGTGTTCAGTCGTTTAGTAGGCTTGCATCTGATTGGTGCTCTCTATTTTNTAAATTACCACCATACACATCCAATTATATTTTAGAATTACTTTCTGTTATTTCAATCATTTATTTTATTATTATTATTATTATTATTATTATTAATAATAATAATATATACTGTGACAAAATTTAGCTTAATATCATATGTTTAATATTACAAATGTTAAATGGAAATTAAAAATACAAAAAAAAAAATATGAATTACCATGAATTAACTACCATACACATCCAATTATATTTTACAATTACTTTTTGATACTTCAATCATTTATTTTATTATATTATTATTATTATTAATATATACTGTGACAAAATGTAGCTTAATATATAATACGTTTAATATAACTAATATTAAATGAAAACTGTGAAGCTGTAAAAAAAAATATCAATATAAATCATGTGATGTTTTGTTCATACGATTTCTTGTTTAATTCATTCTGAAATAGAATTCGATTGAAATGAAGAACGTGGGAGAGAGAAAGAGAGAAATAGAGAGAGAGAGAGAGAGAGAGAGAGAGAGAGAGAAAGTTACGCACTACAGGTATAGTACTATAGGTATACTTCGATTCCGTCATTCTGACGCAAACGCATCCTTTACGCAACTACCAATGAATGACGGAATCGAGGATGTATAACTATTGTTTCGATTTTCTCTCTCTCTCTCTCTCCCTCTCTCTCTCTATCTCTCTTTCTCTCTTTCTTTCTTTCTTCCTCTCTTTCTCTCCTATTTTTCAATCTATATCTTTTATTTCTTCGAATTTCTAACGTCAGATCATAAAATAATGAATCATCATCTTAAAAACAAGCAGAACTAGGATTATAACAAATTATCTTGAAACACACACGTGATTTTTTTTTTTTTTTTATAAATAACAAGATAAAAGATACATTTTTCATCTGAATAAATTGCAAACATTGTTGTATAGAAAGAAAAAAATTGAACACAAGATGGAGAATGTTACTAGATTGTTCCCCAAAATTTGTCTTCCTATTTTTTTAATGATGATGATGATGATGAAGTTGATGAACAATAATTGTATTAGTAATATTTTTTTTTTATATTATTTTATTAAATAATATAAATAATATAAAAAATATTACGCGTATACAATGATTTGATTTATTACAGTTCATTTGACCTTATTTTATCAATTATTTGATTTATTACAGTTATTTCATTATTACACTTTATTTGACCTTATTTTATCAATTATTATTATTATTATTATTATTATTATTATTATTTATTACAGTTATTTTAATTATTACAACACTTTATTTTATCATATTTGATCAATCATTTGATTTATTACAATTATTTAATTTAATTACAATTATTGAATTATTTAGAAGAAGAAGAAAAAAAACAAAATTGAACAAGATGGAGAATATTACTAGATTGTTCCCCAAACTTTTCTTCCTTTTTTTTTTTTTTTTTTTTTTTNCCTCTTATAATATTGTATTAATTAAATTAAATATATTGGACTTTTAAATTTGAATTAATTAAATTAAATATTGAACCCTCTTATAATATTGTATTAATTAAATTAAATATATTGAACCTTTCAATTTGAATTAATTAAATTAAATATATTGGACCTTTAAATTTGAATTAATTAAAATTAAATATATTGGACATTTAAATTTGAATTAATTAAATTAAATATTGAACCTTTATAATATTGCATTAATTAAATTAAATATTAAACCTTTAAATTTGAATTAATTAAATTAAATATATTGGACATTTAAATCCGAATTAATTAAATTAAATATTAAACCTTTAAATCCGAATTAATTCAATTAAATATAGAACCCCCCCTCCCCAATAATACTGAATTAATTAAATTAAATATTGAACCCTCTTATAATATTGAATTAATTCAATTAAATATATTGTCAACCCTTCTAATATTAAATAATAATAATTTTATTTCATTATGTATCTCTTAACGTATGATATTATTTTAATTGTCAATGATAAATATATTATTTTTTAATTATCAAATTAAATATTGAACCTTTAAACTTGAATTAATTCAATTAAATATTGAACCCTTATAATATCTAATAATAATAATAATAATAATATATCATTGTGTATTTGTTAATGTAATCAATTTTAATTGCTAATTAATTTTGATTATACACTTAGTAGTAATATTATTTTGATAGTATATTTCTAATAAAATATACTATGTGTTGCATGTTGATTTAAAACATGCAAATACATTAAACACACATTCATTCACTTATTGATCAAATTTCATGAAATCTACATATAGACATTGTAATTATTTCTAAACAAGTATCGCGTGTGAAATATTTGAACAAGTATAGGGTAAGTTGGTCGTCAATTTTCTAACGTTTCATCGATGCTTCTCATCGAATATGTACACGCAACGTTTCCTTCTGCCCTCCCTCCCTTCCTCCCTCTCACCCTTTCACCCCCTACCTCCCCCTCCTTCCCACTCCTTCCCCCTGGGACGACAGGTTGGGGTCCTTGCTCGCACATAGAATTACAATAATTCTCACTAGACGTTCATTCGTTGGTTCGTTGGTTCGTTCGTTGTTGGTTCGTTGTTGGTTCCCTCACGCAAAGGCATCATTGTCATCGTTGAATATGCAAACAAGTTTAAAAAAAAAAAAATAAAGTGGTCAGCCACTGTCGGCCTTTCCCTACCATGGTTCATTATTTCCATTTTTTGTTTTTTTCTTTCTTTTTTTTTTTTTTAGGTTTCAAAGAGGCTGTTGTTGCATGCATATATTTTTGTTTGGAATTCTTATTTTTATTTAATTTTTATTATATTTTATATTTTTTTATTTTTTATTTTACATAGTGCATGCACATAAGAAGTGCATTTCACGTTGCATGCACATTTTTTTTAATGATTATTATTTTTTCATAATTTTTATTTTTTTTTTTTTGTTATTTCACATAGGTTGCGTGTAGATTTTTTATATATTTTTTGTTTGTTTTGATTTTTATGTCCTCATAATTTTTATATTTATTTTAATTTTTTTTATTTCGCACAGGTTACATGCGAATATTGTTTTTTTCTAATTATTTTTCTAATTTTCATATTTTTTCATATTTTTATCATTTTTATTTTTATTTTTATAATTTATATATTTATATTTATTTTTATCATTTTTATATTTATTTTTATTTTATGTTTTCCCCACCATGTATCATTATTTCTATTTTTTACTTTTTATTTTTTATTTCACACAGGTTGCATGCAAATATTTTTTTTCTAATTATTTTTCTAATTTTTCTAATTTTTGTATTTATTTTTATTTTAATATTTCCCTTCCATAAAATATTATTTCCATTTTTTATTTTTCTATTTCCCATAGGTTGCATGTACACATTTTTTCTTTTCGAATTTTTATCCTTATAATTTTTCTATTCAATTTTTTTTTTTTTTAATTTTTCCCCATCATGGTTCGTTATATCTATTTTTCATTTTGTTGCACATAGTCTCACATTGCATGTACATTTCTTATTTTTCTGAATTTTTATATTTTCATCATTTATTTACATATTTCTTTTTTTTAATTTAATTAACCAATCGTGATCCACCAATTGATGATAATCCAACAAAGTATTTCATAATTTGTGCACGAAGAATATGTAATGGTTTCAAGGAAAGCTTATGACGAATGGAATTGTGAATAAAATACGTTATCCCCATAACATTTCTTCGTTCATGACAGGAAATGAAATTGAGTTTATGACGTATATATGCGCATGATCGCACTTTGAATTCTAATAACAATATATTTCAATGGAATATAACAGTGATTATAACAGGAAGTCATCAGTTAATCGATTCTACTTGAATTAATACCATCGAGTCATAAGTAACTTCCGTACAATCTATTTTACCTATTTATCTACTATAAGTCACCAAAAAAAAAAACAAACAAACACATTTTTCATTATCACTGTATAAATGATAATTCAGTTTAATCTTCTGTCAACTTGTTCGATGTAATCAATGTCAAACATTAAACCCATTTTTCTGAACCACTCAAAATGGATCGTAAAAAAAGTGCACATTCGACATGCAACGCTTCATGAATTGAAACAAGGCCAATGCCACTAAAGTGGAAACTGTAAAAATATCCAACGAATACGGTGCAGGACTTGACAATTGATAGAACAGTCAGAAAATTGGTTTGTCAAATTTCCCTTGTGTAGATACGAGCTTAAAAAGACTAGGGATCCTATAAGAGAGATGCGCCATTCATATTCACCTCATGTGCCATTGGTTGAAAATTTTGGGGGGGACCACTTGAATTTAGAATAATTTTTACGTCTAACCTATTCTATTTTAATATCAATTTTTCATCATTATTAAATATAGTTCATTCTTTTTTTTCTGTATTTCATGCAATTCATTATTTCTGAATTATTTCAATGTTTGAATTATTCGCGCGCAAAATCAAGTTCCGGTCGTCCCCCAGCAATGTACATGGCGCATTCCTCCTACAGGATCCCTAAAAGAAACGAACCAAGTGCAGGGACGTCTTTTCCGACTTTGATCGAACTTTGGAAACAAAATCCAATGGATACGTCCAACGGATGCAAAGAGTGCCAAAAAAAAAAAAAAACCAAAAAAAACTCCATAAAAAGATGTCGTACACTTATCAGTCATAGAAATGCCATTGTTTGTCTCATAAAAAAATAAACGGAAATTATTTATGACTCGACCTAACAGTCTTTGACGTTTATATCAATTGAAATAGTCTGCTGAAATAACCGTAATGAATTTGAATTAAACATTAAGGAAGACCTTTGGTGACCAATAATAACCTCCTCTACTACCCCCCCTACCCCCTACCCCTACCCCCTACCCNGTTAATTTGACCTTATTTTACCAATTATTATTATTATTATTATTATTATTTATTACAATTATTTTAAAATTATTACAACACTTTATTTTATCATACGTTCTACCAATCATTTGATTAATTACAGTTATTTAATTAACGTTTATACAGTTATTTAATTTAATTATCTGTAAAATTACCCCCCCCCCCAAAAAAAAAAAAAAAGAAGAAACTTTTTTGACAACTGAAAATATATATTTAAAAAAAAAAAAAAAATAAAATCCATGTAAAATTAAATCAAAAACATCACATAAAACATAAAAAAAAAAATAAATTTTCTTCAAACATTAACTAATAATACAAAAACATTTCATTGACTCACGTAGTGGTGTCATGAACATCATGACAGTTTGAATTAAATGTCACGTTACTCCCCCGTTTCATAGATCATTTAATATCGGGCGTATTCGAATAAAAAGGTTGGTCCCTTTTTTAAACGTAAAACTAACTGTCAAAGTCAGCTGTCATTGTCATTGTCAAATTGTAATACTAATTAATCGTCATAATTAATCGTCATTCATATTCGTCAGCGTTTACGAGTCATCATAAGCGGAAACGCCTGCTTCGGCTTACTAAAGGTGTACACCGGCCTAGAATGAGAGAGAGAGAGAGAGAGAGAGAGAGAGAGAGAGAGAGAGAGAGAAAGCATTGCGTGCTCGATGACAGATCCATCGTGCCAAGAACAACGTGAAGAAACAGCACAGAATAAGATAAGCTGATAGATTTAATGGGGTATTTAAAAGATGTCAAAGAAGACTAACACAAGAAAGAGACACAAATATTTCAATTGACTTTCTATCTCTCCCTCTCTCTCTCTCTCTCTCTCTCTTTCTCTCACACACACACACACATCATACACGTACTCTTTCTTTCTCTTTTCTTTTAGCTGTCTGTCTTTCTCTTATTCGTTGGTTCTCACTTTTGACTTTTTCTGTACCTCTCTCTGTCTCTCTCTCTCTCTCTCTTGTTCTTTTTCTTCTGATAGTCTATCCTTTTTATTTTTTTTGTCTTATTCGTTAAGTCACATTTTCTTTTTTTTTTTTTTTACTAATAATATAATAATAATAATAATAATACATTTAAAGATATATTTTAAATGGAAATAGAATATACACTCACCGCGACTAAAGCTGCTAATCTATCCTTGGTCATGCTGATGGATGACGAGGCGTTGCGAGTCAGCGGGTGTACGGTGCAATCAACCTAGCGGGTAATCCCATTCACGATTTCATCCATGTACGACGAGCACGGCCACTAAAAACTAAAGGAAACGGACGCACTAGTCGCGAGAGACACGATCGCAAAATCGATACACTCGCGAACTCGCCTGCTTCTGCAGTGCCGTCCGATGACGTGCGCCTGCGCCGATTACGTCAGCACGCTTCAGGAACGTACCTTTCAATTTGTATGTCTTTGCATACCGTTCGATGACATTACGTTTTATTTCATTTAATTTAATTTATTTTTGTTCTTTTTTATACTAAAATTTATATCATTTTATCTAATTCTACTTTTATAATTATTGTACATATTTTTATATTATTTATAAATGAATTTTGTATTTGAAAATAATAATGATAACATTGACTATGATTTAATTTGATTGTATAAAACGTTTTGAAAAATATTCGATCATTTACGACATTAAAATATATATTTAATAAATAATTGAAATATTATGATATACTATGTAGTTAAAGGTACCTGAGGAATACTAGATTTTGATTGGTTGATTCGATGCATATAGCAAGACGAGGAATGCAATTGAAATTGGATATAGGTCTAAGTAAAAGTTGTACGTCACTGGTGCTGCATCCTGTTGAAACTGACCAATAGTATTGCACGATACGCTCTAATAACTGATCAGTGGTGCCCTCTGAAATTGAATTTTAGAATAAGAAACTATGATAGGAGTAACCATAGAATATATAATATTTAAAAAAGTATTCTTTCTTTAACATTATTTAATAACGAATAATAAATGTCACATGGTATACAAACCAATGTATGTTCACCTTTATAATGCTATTCATCATTTTGTTTTTTTTTAAATAATATCATAATCGTTATTTATCGAAAAAAAAAAAAATTGCGAATAAAAATGATTCTATGTCCGTTATAAAACTATCTTTACTATTTTTTATCTTCTTCTTCTTCTTCTTCTTCTTCTTCATCATCATCATCGTATTATTCCAAAATGAACACTGTCATTGTTGCATTCACTCATCGTAATGGCGTAGTAGTACGTTACGTTATTGAAGATGTCGCTTTTTAAAAAACGCATTTCCATTATAATAGTAACTATGAAATAATACATTAATCGTATATTATTTTATCAATTAAACATAATGAAAATTAATCATGCATTTTTTCACATAGATCAATATAAAAATAAGTCATAAGTTTGATTTAATATAATTCAACGAATGACAAGGAAGACACAGGAGGCACCGCTTGTCGTCTTAAAGGAACGCCATTGTGAACCATAACGACTGTGCCGCACGGTAAGTTCTATCGGTCATTTTCACGTACATCGTTGCTTCCCGGGAAATTTTGTTGTACGAACATTGGGTAAATTAATTCAACAACAAGACAATTTATTCAATAACTCCTTGTTATATCGTAAGAAATAATTAATTATAATAATAACGGTCAAAAGATAAACGATTAATCAGTTAAATCCAAAAGTAATCTTGCGCACCGTATTACAAACGTTGGGGGAGCCATTCCTTCTCGTCAAACACGAATTCTAATCATCCGCGTGTTGGAAGTGTTAAGGAAAAAAAGAAAGAGAGGGAAGAGAAGAAAGAAAGAAAGAAAGAAAGCAAAAAAAAAAAGGACAAAGATGAGATTAATTGTCTTTTCTTAGATTACGTGAAACCTTTTTTTCTTTTTTTTTTAACGCGGCGGGACGTTGATTTTAACCGGCATAATTTTTTTTTTCTTTTTTTTTTTGGGGGGGGGGGGGGGGGNCCCTACCCCTACCCCCTACCCTCCCCACTTCGTTGAAGACAACTTTTCTTTACGTTCTCGATTATATTCAAATTGTCTCGTCCTACTTTCATCGTTTTCATAATTATAATAACAAAAAGAAGTAATAATAATAAAAAAAAAAATAATAATAAAAACTTCACAAGTGTTATTAATAGATAAACTGAAGTTTGAATTGGTTAACGGTGGTGGTGTGTCTAGTTGAAAAAATGTTTCCTTTATATATAAAACGTAAACGGTTGTTAAATATATTTAAATGACTTTTAAATGTAATAATTTTTATTCTTATCGTGTTTTTTTATTTTTTTTTCTTTTTTTATCATCCACTTATATGTACCGTTGTTTTAATAATAACAGGTAATAATAATAATAATAATAATGATGAAGATGATAATGATGATAATGATGATGATTAGGATTATTATAATTATAATGATTATTTTATCATGAAATATTTCGATAGTTTTGTTACGTTATTTTTAACACATATGAACATATATGTATGTATGTATGTATGTATGTATGTATGTATGTATGTATGTATGTATGTATGTATGTATGTATGTATGTATGTGTAAATGTTTATGAACATATATGAACTTTGAGGCAACGGATGATCGTCAGATTAAGACTCCTCGAAGCGTAGGTACTAATTTCTTTTAAATTTGCACACGCTAGAACCATCATAGTTCGCTAATGCAAAATGGAAATTATAATTTCATATAAGTATGAGAATATATAATTTCGCACGAGATCCATATACCCAGGTTCAGTTCATAAGGATAACGTTAGTCAGGAAATATTGTGCGAAGAAGTATGACTAGGTTTAGCATTTTATAAATAACTGGTAGGTAGGTAAGGTAGGTAGATAGAATTTGTTGAATGATTCAAAGAAATATATGTTTTTAAGAATGAACAAAATTAAAGAAAATAAAAAAATTAAAATAAATAAGAAAAGAAATGTATTCATTTCATTGGAAATTTGTTGTTGTTGTTGTTGTTGTTTTTTTTAATAATTATATTTATATTTTAAATAAAAAAATTGTTAATGTCACATTAGACACATCAATGTAGTCAGTCAATAGTTAATGTTATTTTAAATAAATGAATAAATTATTAGAAATAAATTATTACAATTAATAAATTAATTGATATTTTATATTATGATATTATTAATAAATTATTTGATTTATTATTTGTATATTTAATTATTTATTATGAATATTAATAAAATTGTTAATACCACATTAGACACACCTATGTAGGTGTAGATAAATGGAAATAAAAAATAAAATAATTAGCAATGTAGTTAGTCAACATGTCAGTCAACAAGTCAGTCAACGTCAGTCAACAACAACCATTAACGTTATTATAAATAAAAATAAATTTAATTAATAATATATTAATAAAATTCTAGATAATTATTAAATTAGATATTATAAATTGTTATATAATAAATAAATAGTTAATATAAATAAATAAATAAATAGAAAACAAA